GTCTGAAAGATTATTGATATGCTGTATAAGAACCTCTTCTTCCTCAATTGTAAGCAGCATATGAGATTCAGAGTATGCAAGCTCTTTCGGCTTTGAAATGCCTTTATGCCTGCGCTGGAGGGTTCTGCGATCGATTCCAAATTTTTTTGCAGTAGCAGAATAATTTGGCACATCTTGCGATTCCAGATCATCAAGCGCCTTCTGAATATCTGCTTCGTTGACCATTTGGCACCGTGTTGAAGTTGGGTGATGAAGAGGCGGTGAGGGTGGTCAAGATGCAGGGATGGTCAAGATGCCGGGAATTACGTTACGGAGTAGACAGTACATAATGCGCTTACTTGTCGCAGAGAAAGGAGTTGTACTAGTACATATTTGGTAGCACAGCATTGCGCTAGGTCGCAAAAGGGATGGGAAGCCCTAATAGTCCTAATAGTGCCGCTGAGCAACGTTGGGGGCCATTTGTAACCTTCGGGCAAAATCCATGCGTCCCACGACCACTCTGTGAAATCCCATCCACCTCGTTCCGGACAGTTCCGTCCAACAAAAGCTTCGCAAAGGCGGATGCTAGAGTGACTTACTGTTGTTTAAGGTACTTGTATGGACATGTCCGTAGATGGCGAAGTAAGCGTTTCCCCGCCCAAACTACCCTGGGGAGGCAACACCATCACCATGGTTCCACCGCTGACAGGACGAAGAAAGTTGGCTCACATTTTGACCCGCCGTTCCGCAGAGAGCTCCTGCCGACGGCCACGGACTTTGCCAGTGGACAAACAGTCGTTCCACTATTGCCAACAACATATCGCCATCGCTACAGAGTCCAGCTTGTCAGTTCGAATGTCAACTCGTTTCTGCAATGCGAATTCGACGTCTCTAGGCTGAACCGTGTCCACAAGTGGCTATGGCTCTGTGGACTACCAAATTCTCCGCGGCCGCTGCACTATCAACGGATCAAGAAACGAGACATAGTCATTACGGAGCAAATTGACCTTCATCTCGTATGGTCCCCATCTCGTATTTTCATCAAGCCCCTTCCGCGCTTCCTCCTTTCGCCCCAATTCTGGCAACAACACATCTGCCCGGATACCGGTCTCTATCGAACAGCCTTTGGGTTCCTTCTATCATATATAGCCCTTATTGAACGGGAAGTCGACTTCCAGCTGGCCACTTCCCTCTCACTGATCCCACCGGAGGTCACTTGGGCCGCATGGCTCGCATTCGCCGAGGAAGTTGTCCTAACTTCATCCCAAACACGTTCGTATTTCTCGGCAGATGAGACATCGCCTTCATATTCCCAGCATCGTGTTCCAGTTAACTGCCGATTTTATTACGGTGAACTACGGCTGGGGAGATTGAACTGGATCTACCGCTTATATCTGGGAAGACCGCGCGGATATCTGAGCGGATGTACTACTTACGGGGCATTTGTGCGCGACAACGCCAACTCATTCATCACTCTCTTTGCGTACACCACGATCGTGTTATCGGCTATGCAGGTGGGACTTGCCACACAGTGGTTGAGCGACAGTTATGCCTTCGGCATGGCATCCTACGTTTTCTCTGTGTTTTCAATTGTTGCTCCACTTTTTGCTCTCATTGGACTGTTTTGCATATTGGTGGTTTTGTTTGCAGTCAATCTGTCTCGCACATTGAGGATTAGATGGAAAAGAAAACGGCAAGGGGTTGGAGTGTAGTAGGTACAATGAGGAGCGTAAGGTTACCGAGTCATATGGTCGGCACTACCCGGAATTCAGTGTGATTGTCGAGTCGATATACATAGTAGCTGGATTTCAGCCTTGCAAAATCTCCAGGAGTTTGCTACTTTGTTCAAGCGCTTTCACGTTTTCAACAACTGCATAAAGCGGATGGTATAAAGCCCCGATTGTGCTTGAACCTTTCCGAACATGACTGACTCGAGAGCTCGGAACTTCGAAGATCAAACCGCTCTATGTAGATAGACGGCTTTGATGAACTCCCTGCTGAGTAGGCTTCCACAAGATGATAGGAAAGAGACGCGCCAACATCGGACGCGGTTCGTCCCTTCCAGGTGCTGCGGTCTAGGCGAGTGGTAAGTGCAAGCCCCTAGAGCTGCCGTATCGCATATACTTGTGGTTTGAAACCGTCCTAAGGCATCTCAGTTATTTTCTGTATCGTAATTGCGGACAGAGATTACCCCGATATGTTCTATGAGAGAGCAACGGTTGCTGTCACCCACGTCTCTTTGTACCATCACGACTACTCTTTCGGGACATAACCTCGGCTCCAGCGGCTTGACTCGTGACCGACTTCGAGCATGTCCTTCACATCCTCCTTTTATATCTACATTTCCCTCACCCCCGACTCCTCTCCGGAACGACCCTGCCGCTCACATATGCCCACGGCAAACTGCCCTCTTATTAGTGCGGCGTCCGGTTTTCCTCCCTTCTTCAAACTGCCGTGCCTTCTTCCTCATTCAACAAGCTTGCCAGCACCATATTCGTCATCATCTGAACATCCAACAAAATGGCCATCAAAACATGGCTCACAGAGAAACTGGGAGTCCGCATCCCCTTGGTCCAAGGTGGCATGATGTGGGTAGGCCGCGCGGAGCTCATCAGCGCGGTCGCCAACGCCGGAGCCCTAGGTTTCCTCACCGCCCTCACACAACCCACGCCTGAGGCACTGCGCGCAGAAATACGCAAGACCAGATCGCTTCTCAAATCCCATGCGGTGCAGTTTGGCGTTAACATTACTCTACTTCCTGCGATTAATCCTCCGGACTACATGGCCTACGCGCGTGTGGCGGTCGAGGAGGGAATCAAAGTCGTGGAAACGGCAGGAAATCCAGCGCCGATCCTGAGCTATTTGAAGGAGAATGGGGTGATTATTGTGCACAAGTGTGTTACTTTGGCACACGCACTGCGCGCCGAGAAACTAGGCGTTGACTGCATCTCCATTGACGGTATAGAGTGCGCGGGTCACGGTGGCGAGTACGACACCACATCACTTATGCTTCTTTCGCTATGTGCAGAGCAGCTTAAGATTCCATACCTTGCAAGCGGAGGTTTTGCCAACGGAAGGCAGCTGGCTGCGGCGCTGACTCTGGGAGCCGCTGGTGTGAATATGGGAACAAGGTGGATGGCGACAGTGGAGTCACCTATCCACCCGGACGTCAAGCAGGCAATTGTTAAAGCAACAGAGAACGACACCGTGTTGGTGCTCAGAAAATTCAGAAATACGACGAGGTTGCACAAGAACAAGGTTTCGATGGAGGTGCACCAGATCGAGAACACGAAGAAAGACGTCAAGTTCGAGGATGTTGCTCACCTAATGAGCGGAAAGAGAGGCAAGGGGGTTTATGAAACCGGTGATGTCGATGCTGGCGTGTGGAGTTTGGGAATGTGCGCCGGACTTATCCACGATGTACCGACTTGCGAGCAGCTGGTGAAGCGGATGGAGAGAGAGGCTGAGGAAGTGCTGAGCAAAACTAACGGACTCATAGTTTCACAATCAAAATTATGAGAGTCTTTGCGAGCTGGGGAGTGGCTGTGGGTAGATATCAAGTTCAAGAACCAAATATCGATGAAGGAAGAGATTGATATCAGCTTCCGGTGACCTTCATGCACCAACTGAACGGCCGATGTATTATTAAGGCCTCTTTCTGCCGCAAGGACGCTGGGATCTCTAGATGCTCGACTGCCAAATCGATCTCCCCACCGTGGAATCCACCTTAGTTTCTGAAACGCATGTGGCGATTTGCCACAAGTTCCGGCGTTGCACTTTATCCAACTCGCACCACATGAGGAAGCATATTGGTACGAAGATGCTGGGTCGTTGACTTGATTGCAATAAGTGCGGACAAGTTCGTCCAGAGAGTAATCTGTGAGGCTGTAAGAAGCCGTGTCCACTTATTGCGGGAGGTAGTACCCACTCAAGTCGTCGACTACTTGGTGGAAGCAGTAGAGTTGGCCGATATTGCATGCGCCTGCTACTTGGGCTTCCATTCCCGTGGCTCCATTTCCTTCGGTCTCCGCTAAGGACAGGCTCAAAAGCCACACTGTGACCAGACTGGACAGCACCTTCATTTCTCTGACACGTAAAGGGTTAAGTGATTCGCTGGAGCCATCGGAGTCTCTAAAGAAAAAGGTGGTGAGAATGATATTTATGCGTTAGTAGCTTCGTCATGTTTCAACTCCATTGCAGCAGATTTTTTTCCCTTATTCTAAAAGTCACAATAGACCACAGCATGGAAAAATACACGGTCGCCACATCTAAGCGACCCTTCCTACTTTTCATACTGTTCTCTTCGCAGGATATTTCTCTTTTAGGACAAAAGAGACGACCAGAATTTGTGCCATCGTTCTTGTATTCGCACTCCTCGCCCTCGATTTTCAGTTGAAACGAGCCCCCAGGCCACGGTGGATTGTCAGTATTCCTAGCCACCTCAGGGAGCAGATCAACATTAGTTGAACCCTCTCCAGGGATGAGCTTTTCTCCCTTGGTCTCGCCGCAACTCCCTACGACTTTACCGACGGTTGTAGTATAGAAGTTCCATGTTGAATAGACGTCTGCAAGGCCAGCGTGAGAATTAACAACGGAGACCATGGCAATCGACAATGATTTTCCAGGCTTAGGTGTCAATGCCGAAGGTGGGGTTGTGCTGGCATCCAAGTCTCCGCTCCGTGCCTTTTGCAGAGCCTTAATATACCATTCTGGATAGTCTGAGTCTGGCCTGAAAGTGAAATCGTCAACCGTGTAAGCTTCACCGTCGAGTCTCTCCATCAACGAGTCGCTGGCAAGAGTGCCGCTGTTGTAAATTCCTTGATTGACCAGCGTTTGGTCTCCTTTAATCAGGAACAGCGCCTTGGGCTTTTCAGCGTCATCGTCATACAAATGGCCGTCTGCGAGCGGAAGGATCGGATACACGCCGACTTTGTCTTTGATGTATTTGGCCAACGCATATGCGCTCCAGTTGTCGTCATTCTGCCTGACATGATGGAAATTCTGGTCACGAATTGTACGAGCCAGCATTTTGGAATTTAGAGGGCCGTAACGTCAGCGACTGGCTCATGCACGGGACTGGCTCGTGCACGATTTCGGGACATTCACCAGCTACAACAGTGAGGCTGTACAAGGCTATATATATATTAAAATCACCAGATTTTTTGGTGTAGCAATTAGAGAGGCTTATTGTATCATGTG